TTTTCACGAAAGCGCCGTGAGTCCAAGATATTGATTCGCTTTCGACGACCGTTCCACATAGAATTATATCTACGACATAGAGGTAAACGGTCAAACCATGATGACTTTCCGTCAATGTTTTGTGACTGTGTCTCGAGTTCAAAAAGTCATCACTACCTCTTGCGCACATCGGGGGCTCTTAACGTGCCTTCGTGAGGGATTTACTGCGAAGTAACCATACGTGCTTGACATCTGCAATTGTGCATATATTTTTTGGAGGGTTTTGTGCGCCAAAACAAACCTTAAAATTGGGGGGAGTTATATACTATTGAAGAAAGGACACGCTTTTAACTATGTGAAATGAAAGTTTCTCCATACACAATTTCCGTGGCGCGTTCTTTAAACGAAAACGCGGTGACGAACTTTGCGAACAAAGCACGTGGCGTGCCAAAAAACGCACTGGACAAATCTTGTTTGCCCACCGTTCAAACTTGATTTTCTTTTCTTTTTTGTGAAGAAAATTCCTTTTCTTGTGAAGAAAATTGTGTGAAACCTTAATGAAATAGTATTGCTTTGTTTGCTGGTAAAAAATGAAATGACAATGGAGATTTTGAACTAACGCGGACGATATACGTATCTTCGCAGTTTCACAGTCGATACGCACCATACGCTCGCTCTCAATAAGCAAGCCCTCTTCAATGCGTCTTCCCGCCTTTAGGTTTTATTCTACTAAATGCAGTCATTTATTCTGCTAAATACAGTCATTTGGTACTTAAAGTCAGACCTTGTTTCCCGGCGCATTGGTATAAAACGTTGCTGGCTAAAAGTGCACCGTTAATTTCTCCAGTCTCCGCTCTTTGAGCTTTACCTGCCGTTTACAAGAGGTAGCCGTGTAACTGTAAATTTACGATCCGATTAGCTCTGATTTCCGCGTGGAGTCGGGCAAAGTAATTATCACATTTTCAGGACAGGAGGAACTCGGAAGTGTTGGATAAGAGAAAGAAAAGTGGAGCTGGGTTACTTTGAAAACTTCAGGAAACCAGGCAAACGCGAGTCGGTGCCAGGAACAAGTTTCATTTAAAATCGTCCACTTCAACGTATCCCAGCGTAGCACTGTGTAGCTCCTGCGCTACAAGGGTAGTGACGAATTTTTTTACTCGTATTCAGATCGAAAGTGAGTATTTACCTTTACTTGCCATGAGCAAGCAAGATTTAATATCTCACATCATAATTGATCGCAGGATAGATATACTTCTCTTCGGTGTGAATACCATTAATACAATAATAGTAATATTATGTCGTATAATCTTTGTAACACGGAGAAATAACGAGATTTCGTAGGGAGTCTAGTAAAATGAGAATATACTTCGTGAACGACAACAACATAAATATATCTAAACATTACGAGGTAACGGTACCGATTCAGCACACATTTTATCGCAGTGTTTTAAGTAAAAGTACACGAACGAAACTTTAGCCTGTGACACATATTTAATATTTTATAATTTTATTTTCCAACAGAGCTGATCAAGAGAAAGTCAATATTGCGCATTCTCCGGTACCTTCTATTGAGAAAATTCAACTCTCATTAGAATTATTTCCAAAAGTTTTCGGTGACGATTTTTTGATCAGCTGAAAGAGTAATCAGAAACTTATTTCGTACTTTTTTCATATTTAAGTCGATCTTGTGCCTTCATTTCACTCTAAAGGCGATGAAATTTAAAATTTAGAGTAACTTCCGGAATTTTCCCTGACTTCTGATTTTTTGAGACATTCTCCTATCCTCCGGCAGCTTCAGAATGTCTATCAATAAAACTACACCTTCCATAAAACTTATAACGCTATCCCACCGTCATTCGGAAGCAGTCGGATAAAAAGCGGAATCCGAGGAATCCAAATAACCGTCTCAACAAGAACTGATCTTGTTGGAGGTTTGACGACGGGTCCCAGCCGCATTCTACATTTTAGAGAGTTACCAGCAGGAGTTAAAAATAGTGATTTCTTCCTATGATCTTTTTTTCCCCTCTTTTTTTTTTTGGCGACAGATCATCTTCACCTCACCGGTAACTCCACTTTCGATTTCGGGTCCTGCCTCACTTCGGTCGGCATAGCCTTAACTCTTTTCGTCTTCTGTCACTTTCATGGTACTCGGCAGAAGTGCCACCAAAAAAAGATGGAGCGAAAAAAACGGGAAAACAGATAGAGATATGAGCTCCTGGTGGAATTACATAACTTGGGAGCTGCGTTCTCATTCCCACGAGAGTACATATTTTGCGGCGGGTGGTTGATATGGCAAGATTAAGAGTCTTTATATCAAGCCGTAAGTTCTGAATGAAATTTCCCGATTGAGCTTATTCCATGGTGGAAAAATCACTACAGAAAACCTTACTTTTTGCGTGATATTTCCACTAGACGAACGGACGGAACCTGGTAGACCCTGCGGTAGAGTGCTTTCCGAGATTCCAAAGCTATAGGATTAAACTTTAGATTAAGAATGATGGAAGTTACAAGATTGTTCTAAAATCAAAACGCGAGCTCAAAAAAACTTCATATGTGCTCAGTTTAAATTATTTCAAAGTTTGTACAAAAATATAGAAACACACATAGCAAAAAGAGGCAAAGAGAGCAGAGAGAATAAAGAGTATTTTTTATTGGAAATGCAATGCTTTTAAGAGTCTGAACTGTAGATTCAAGCGACCTTTTCTTCCAGTGCAATTCTTCACGAATGGGTTCAGGTATTGGTCCGTGACTGACAGAAGCAATTCTTTTTTGGTGCGTAAACCGTTGACAGCACATTGAAAGTCGCCGGTGAGACTCAAGAACTGCGTATTGCGAAGTATCAAAGTCTTCGCTCCATTTACATTATGCCAAAGGACACCGGACCAACACTAAAGCTTTCAGCCGCAAACCGATATATGCGCTTCTGCGATTTCACCGTCGGTATACAGATTGCGCAGTTGTCTACTTGCTTTTACGCTTCAGTTTTTTTCGTTTACGTGTTTTATATTATAAAAGAGAAAAGTTATTAGATTATCCTGATTTCTGGGTCATTTTTAACTGTGCGGAGGTCATAAAATTTAAATAATAACAATAATTGGCATTCCTTCGGAGATTTTAAACACTAAATACAAAATTTGAATGCAAACTATTCATTTTCCTGCTTTGAAAATTTGAAGCTTTGAAGTATTCTAAATGCTTCTTAGTGACGTCCTCAGGTGGACTTCTCGGAAAACTTGGACCGCGTTTAGGAGAAAGGAACCAAGCCACACCAGCAATTGCCAACATTAACTGGGCAATTTACTTTTTACCGAGAGAACGTTTGGACAGATTCCGTTGAAAATTTAAAGGAATTATTTTTTCACCCAGCAGAAAATTCACTGAACTTTTCACAAAATCCGCACGACCGTTTTCATGTAAAAACTTTAATTGTCCAATTAAATTTGGCAATAGCTGATGTGACTTGATTCCTTTCTGCTTAAAGCGGTCCACTTTTTCTTTCCCCCACGTCAAAAAGGGATGATTTAGAAAATTCACGCGATGTATTAGGCCAGATTTCGATAATGCACACCATTTAGAGCGCAGAAAAGCAGCCAAATGTGAATGCGACACGGAGAGTAACTCCTTTGCGATAAGTCTAACCTTTAGTGATACCCGGTGCGGCTCCGTTATCATGTGCGTAAGCATAAACTGACTTACTAAGGAAGAACGCCGTATGAACCTTTAGGCGTTGCCAAATCTCCTTTGATACGATACGAATTTCCTGGTGCACTTATAATTATTTTTCCTCAATTTTTCAGATAATTTTGCTCGCGATTCCACCGAAAAGTCCTGAAAATTTCAAGGGAAAACATTCATAACTTTCCTTAAAAATGAACATTTTATCGAAGCAAATTTGGCAACTCTCGAATGTTCATACGGCATTCTTCCTTGGCACGGCAGTACAATTGCGGGGCGGATTTTCATGGTAGGTATCCGCTTCATACGAGTCAAAGGACCAGGTGTAGAATTTGTCGAATTTGTTTGCATACTTTGAGATTTCACTATGTTACGGCGAGTCCCAAAGGCGCAAATGCAAAGGAATTGCGGTGCAAAAGCGCAAAAAAGACGTTCGCGCTTGCGGGTTTCTCTCTCTCTGAAAGTTCCTAAATTTTCCAGTTTTAAAGTTTTACATATTTTGACGAGGGTCCCCCGAGATTTCCCGTTTCCTATTTATTTTGCAAGTTTCGTGGCTTCTGCACTTACTCTTCGTCCAAACGCCAACCACTTTGCCTCATGCACATTTGCCTAATTGACCATTTTGGTAAGTTCCACACATTTTCTATGTTTAATTGTTGTATTTGCGGTTTCGGATTTCTTCCATTACAAAACTTTGCGCATTCTACCCACTTACTTGGCCAACTATTTGCGCTTTTAGGTGCATTTTTATGTTGCGCTTTTGGGTCGTGGCCCTCTGATATGATTGGTCATTGTCATCGGTACCCTGCCCTGTGCTGTGTGTAAACCCCAATCTCCAAGTGCAATCACGGCTAATTCATTGTGTAGTATGGTCCCCTTTAAATTTAAAATTTATCAAATTCGGCGCCCTCCAGGCGGCAGCCAATCCCGTGGGAGCGCTCTCGAACCCAGAAAGTGACGCCATAGGTGCTGCTTTCTGGTTGGTCGAGAGTGCTCTCAGTTCATTTTTGGCTCGTTTTTCCTGGATGTGCGAGTAAGTCGTTTGCTCTCGATATTTTTCCCTTTTTGGGGGTAATCCTTGCGGATTACCCCCCATCTTTCATCGGACGGGCCGGTAATGTTTCTGTAGTTAAATTTTTGGTCACGCCAAACTAAAGTTTTGTGTTTCTTGTTCATTTTCATCCCTTCTTCATTTGTGGCATGTGGCCTGAGTCTCTAGCCCGGCGCTCAGCAGTCTGCTCTGTTACCCCACATCGCTTCAATTGCGAACTCCTTCCTTATCCGGGTCTAAAACCTGCACTTTTACTTTCCGACGGAGCGAAAATGAAGAAGGAGTGCTTACTCACAGGAAGAAGAGCTGCAAGGACTTCCGCACAACACTATTAGGATCCGGGCGTCAAGCCGACGAGCACCAAGAACAACGTGGAAGCGGATCGAGCGTAACTGAACCGCGGGCCGGCGGGGGGAAAATCAATAAAACGCGAGAAAAGTAAAACTGAAGCTGGACGTAAACAATAACTGGGGCCCGGAGTAGCGGCGGAGAGACGGCACAATCACTGCGAAGGAGAAGGATTCACTGAGCGAGCGGAGCGTCGCGACGCCGAGGACCGGTGAAAAGTAGGATCAACTGTAAACGTGCCACTGGCTCCGTCTCGCCCCACCTGGGCACCGGGGGGGAGAGCACCGGGTACCGGGTTCATTGCGACGACGACGGCCGTTCACGTTCATCCGTGACCCTCCGGGTATCGCCGGTGTCCAGAGTGTAGCCCTGGGCCCGAATCAATGGTCGCAGCGTTGTACTAGGTCGGGTCCGCAATTTCGGTACCGTCTCCGCCGCAGCACGGTGTGGCGATATGGGTAAAGGGTCGGACACGGGCGATTCCGGAATTGTGAATGTTTAGGACCGGAAATATGTTCTACAAATACCATATTATAAGGATTTGATGATGGTTTTTCAATTTTCATCCCTCATATTGATGGTAAAGGCCTCTAAAGCCCGCTAAGTCAGTATCTAAAATTTCCTCTAAAAACGCACCAATGTTTGTGCACTCTTTAGCCGGAGGGTGTGGCGAAATGGGTAAAAGGTCGGACACGGGCAATTCCGGAATTGTGTTCTACAAGTACCATATTATAAGGATTTGGTGATAGTTTTTAAATTTTCATCCCTCATATTAATGGTAAAGGCCTCTTAAGTCCGCTAAGTCGGCAATCTAAAATTTCCTCTAAAAACGCACCAATGTTTGTGCATTCTTTAGCCGGAGGGTAAACAGGGAAACTCTGGGGGAACTAAAAAATTACCCCCACCATATTTACGATGCAAACTTTGTCCCTAAAGCTCCCATACTCTAACTCAATGCGAAAAGTTCAAAAATATAACTCCGCATGATCGGCGTGATATTGCGACACAAAATCACCTCACTGGAAAAAAACCACATTGGATCTAGAGTCCAGACTCTTAAAAACATTGACAAGAAAAAATACTCTTGATTCAATCGGATTTTTGCTTGAATCAAAACGAAATCCGCTTAAATTAAGAGGCTTGGTTCTTGATTTAAGCTACATTCTGATCGAATCAAGAGTACTTTTTCTTGTCGATGTTTTTAGGAGTCTGGACTCTAGATCCAATGTGTTTTTTCCAGTGCTCGGTTATAATTGTTTGAGTGCCTCTCATGGGGTTAAGAATTGTGAGAGTAAAAAACGATAGTCATGTTCGAAAAACATAATTCCATGCTGCATCATCCAACTGCAACTGCATTGCCCACCCAGATGTATCAACACGAAACGACTCAAAGTGTCACCAAGAAATTATCACAAAATGGACGAGGTAAATATGGTCATGGATGCCCGTAAAAAGACTGGGGGAATCATCACAATAGTGCCCGACAAACTCACCACAGTCGATCCTCTTACATTTACGCTCACTGCACTTGCAAGACCAGAGTTACAATGGATTGTTAGAACAAAAGGTGATGATCTAGCAACTCATTACAAGAAGTTGCTAAAAATTCAACATGACGATGCTGTTGGACATTTGACCAGCTTCTGCGTAGGGCTGACAATGATTGCATAGATACGGAATTTTACAAGGATACACGTGCCCTTTCTCAAGAAGTTGTAGAGCTGATAGAAATTTCTGTCAATGAATTCGTCAGAGAAACTGGATTAGATGTAAATCTTAGTGATCTGAGTGATTATGATAACCTGACAGCGTATTATTGTATGTATAACACAGCTATATTGTTCACACTGATAGGTAAACGCTTAAATTACCAGAACTACAAGGCCTGGATAGAGTCCAGGAATAACTCCTTTGCGGTGCCGCTCGCGGATTTTCCGTTAATGACTCCACCTTACTAGAATATCAGCTATCGCAGAACTTTGCGGCCGCTTTTTACTCAGAGATAAAATCTCGGAATTCGTCAGAGAAACTGGATTAGATGTGGATCTTAGTGATCTGAGTGATTATGATAACCCGATAGCGCATTATTGTATGTATAACACAGCTATATTGTTCACACTGATGGATAAACGCTTCAATGACCAGAACTACAGGGCCTGGATTGAGTCCAGGATTAACTCCTTTGCGGTGGCGCTCGCGGATTTTCCGTGAATGATTCCACCTTACTAGAATATCAGCCATCGCAAAACTTTGCGGCCGCTTTTTACTTAGAGATAAAATCTCGATGGGAAATCCGGCGTCGGTGTTCGGTGGAAATTTTGGCTTAGTCTGAACGACCCGGAATGCTCGGCAACGCATGCAAAACAGTCCTTACCTTACTCAGAGGCGCCGAATTAACGAACATCCTTAACATTTCGCAATGGCGCTTGGTCCTAAACCCAGAGCTATTTTGCTGGAATGCGCTGGCGAAAACCCTCCCATTGGTACTACGTGCATATAAAAAGTTTATTTCCGTCGGCGAACTAGCAGACTGGATCAAGCTGATCCTCCCCGATGACCATGTGCGTGAGTTTCATCATGCAACATTAAAGGTCCCATTTACCAATACAGGTAAGATTTCGGTGACGTATGGTAATTCCACGTTACATCAAGTCGAGGGAGTGGACCACTCACCCGAGACTCAGCCACTAGTAGATGAAGCAATGATGATTATTAGAAGAGCCGGGGGAGGGGGGGGGGGGGGCCCGCACTGTGGACACACAGGCTATGTCGAGTGGAGGTTCAATGGATACCAAAATCCAGAGTTGGAAAAAGTTATGAATGGACATAGCTTCAGACACCCAGTTGCCACCCCATTGCCAAGCCCAAGTATAGGTGACCGCATGAGACCGCAACAGCTTAACTTAGCATGCAAAACCATTCATTAAAAAAAAAAAAATAAATAAAAAAAAAAAAATTAAAAAAAAAAAAAAAAAAAAAAATGAAACGACCCCACAACCTTCCACATCACCCACCATTGGTTCCGATCAGACGATCTAACCTCAGGGTCAACGTAACTCGCGTTAAATACGTGCGAACACTAACTAGAGTAGGGCACACTAAGAGTAAGCTGCTATTCGGCATTTGTTCAAAGGTGAGGACCCGCCCTAGAACATGCAATAAGTTTTACCGTAAAACTAGCCATTTATCAAGAGATCAGTAAAACTGGAAAAAAGGTCCCTTGGATCCAGAGTCCAGACTCGTAAAATATTTAACAGGAAAAAATATTATTGATTCACTAGGATTTTGGCTCGAATCCAGAGCCAAGCCTCCTAATTTAAGAGGATTTCCTTCGGATGCGAGCAAAAATCCGACTGAATCCTAAAAATGTTTTCTTCTAAAATTTCTTAAGAGTCTTGACTCTGGATCCAAGAGACTTTTGCCAGTGCGTAATCAACAAAAGAAAGAAAAGAAAGCGCTTTTTTTCCTTCTTTATGTCTCTTCAAATACTTTAATTTACTAATATTACACTGGAGGATGACATTTCATTCGTGCAGTATGACACTGACGTATATTAAAAGGAACTAACTTCGGTCGCGGACATGTCAACCCTAAGCTGACGGATGCCAAAAAGGATCTTGAATTGAAGCGAGAACGATGCCGATCATAAAAATGGGTAGCGGAATAATTCAAAATGAAAGTGGTTCTAATTTGACCGGAAGGAGAAGAATCGTGCTTTGAACATGACCGATTTCACCCGGAGCGTCCGCTATGCCGACCGCGGTCGAGGACGTTTCGTTGCGACGCGATCCTTGCGGGCGGGGAGACGGGGGGAATACGGGGAACAACGGCTAGACATGTCTAATGTCCATCAGAATGACCAATGCGTTTGGATAATTTAAGTGAGACGCTTTGTTTTCGGCATGCGGTGTGCATTTCAATGTTAATACTCGTCCGTTCTGGATACGTTCTTAAGTTCTTCTGTTCCAGGTTCAGTGCGCACAGATAGTACGTAATGGCAATATTGCGATCTCGGTCGGTGTAGGACTCCATAGCGGAGAAGTTGCAAAAAGCTGCGTTGGGTTCTGCTTGGACCGATCTGGATCGTTTCTTTGCCTGTGTTGATGTGGGGCCCAAAACCACCTTCAGAGAGCCCGTGATCCATGGACGTGCTTATTCTTAAAAACATAGCCCCTCGAAGGTAATAGGACTTCGGCGTGTCCATGAAAGTGGCCAGATAATTCTCGGGGCGGAGTTCCCCGCGATTTTTATCAACCTCTTTTCCCATTCTGGCTCTATCCTTTCCTAAAATGTGTCTTTTATACCGACAGCGACAACTGCAGCGACCGGAGGCGAAAATCGGTTCTCCTCTGTAAGTAAAGACTCTTTCGAGAATTTCATACACTTGCTAAAATTTATATTGCTTACATTTCTAATATTATAAAACTTACATTGCTAATATTCGATATTGACCTGTGTAATGACTGGAATTGCAGTTTCTGTGTACGAGACTTTGAAAATAAATAAACAAATCAACAAATATAAGATTTTCCCGCAGAATCGAAGGGTTTGCCTCCGAAATTCTCGAACTTACACGGAGAAAAAAAACTCGTGCGTGGGACCCGAAGTTTAGGTCAAATGGATCTCTGAAGTTTTCAGATTGAGCATCTGAACACTTTGGGTCTAGCTGCCGAGGTTCGGATCATACATCTGGAACTTCAGTTCTTAAATCTGAAGTACTTCAGATGTGAGAACCGAAGTACTTCGGATGTGAGAACCGAAGTACTTCAGATGTAAGAACTGAAGTTTCAGATGTGTGATCCGAACCTCGGCAGCTAGACCTAAAGTGTTCAGACGCTCAATCTGAAAACTTCAGAGATCCATATGACCTAAACTTTGGGTCTCACGCAAGAGTTTTTTTTCTCCGTGTATGATTTTAAAACTTTCTTCTTCGCAGGCAACATGTCCCACGCGGGAACGAACCCCTTTCCCACGGAGGCAAAGAGAGCCTTCTTCGGTGAAGAAGAGCAGGTGCCCCAACACGACGACCCGGCCGTGGAAAGGAGACGTGCTTCTCCCCCTCCGTCGTAAACGTTCAACCCAAAACGGCAGAACCTTCCGGGCACTCGCGTAAAAGTGGGCTTCGCGACAGCAGCTTTCCACATCATTTGGACAAAACAAAAGTGACGCGTAAAAATCAACGAACAGCGATTCGAACTTTTAGTACAAACATACCCTTTAAAAGAAATAA